TAAAAGAAAGTCTGAAAGGGATTGGAGGAGTGAGGGGATAGGAAGTGCATGAGGACTATAAGAGGAGGTATGAGAGTATGTAAGATGGGTAGGAGGAGTTCTAATAGGGGGATGGGGAGGGGAGGGGATCGGGGATAGGAGGGGAGAGGAGACGAGGAAAGAGCAGCAGGAAGGAGACAGAGAGAACTGCCAGTCACCTCACTTTCCCTCCGTCGGCCCCCGTCAGTGTGGGCGTGGGTGGTGCCGGCCAAGGGCGCCTCCTAACCAGGGACATTCCAAAGGCACCGTCAGCCATTAAAAGTAACCATTTATTACCAAGGGTCACCATTTAGAGGGGTACTATCAAGAATTCCAAGGGGCACCGTGCGTCTAGAGAGGGTACCACCATCACCTGTAAGTGACACCATCTAAATTATCATTATCGAGAGGGTGTACCTCCCCTACACTGAGGCTCCGATACCCAGGGGCAATGCTGATAGAGAAGTACAACTAATGAAAAACAATCTCTCTCTCTCTCTCTCTCTCTCTCTCTGTCTCTCTCTCTTGCCTGCCATTCTGTGAGTCATTCTGTCTGTCTGTCTTCCTCTCCTTTGTATCTCAGGCTGTCTAGCTGTCTTCACGTATGTCTGTGTGTCTGTCATTCTGCCATTTTGCTTGCCTGTGTCGTGATGTTGGTGATGGTGGTAATGGTGGTAGTGATGATGGTGGCAGTGGAGGTAATGATGGTGATGGCAGTGATATGGTTGGTAGGGATGGTATTAGTGGTAATAGTTGGAATGATGGTGATACAGTGGTTGGTGGTGAAGTTAGTGGTGGGGGATTGATTGTGTTGGTGGTGGTGGTGTTGGTGATAGTGATAGAGATGCTGGTTGGTGTGGTAATGGTATAGTGGTAGTGTTGGGGATAACGATAATGGCATTTGTGGTGATAGTAATGATGGTGGTAATATGTGGTGGTGGTAATGATTGTATTTGTCGTAATGGTAGTTAGGATGATAGTGCTAGTGGTAGTATAAGTGGTATCAATGGTATTAATAATAATGATGATAATGGTATTGGATATGAGGGTGGAAAAGGTGGTAGTGGTGCGGTGGGGAGAGGAGGGGGGAGGGTAGTGGTGTTAGTAGTGGTGGTGTTAGTGGTGCAAAACAGGTCTGGAATATGTAACAGCCACTACTCCTCCTGTATTGGTAAGTGGTCAAACCAGTCCACCCGACAATATGTGATTCTATGGATTCTATTAGCTGAGAAAATGTGTTGTCTTGAGTCTATAAGTGTGTGTGTGTGTGTGTGTGTGTGTGTGTGTGTGTGTGTGTGTGTGTGTGTGTGTGTGTGTGTGTGTGTGTTGTGATTGCTAAAAAATAAGAAAAAATTAAACGATACGAAAATTCCTAAAATAAGAAAATTAAAAAGTAAGTAAATAAGCAAAAAACATAAATTAAAACAAGATAAAAACACAGAATAAAGAAATACGACAAAAATACAAAGAAAATACAATAAAAATAAATGATTAGAACAAAATTAAATAAAAATGCCAAATAAAACAATACAACTAAGTAAGAAGAAATACGATACAATAAGAAAATAAAGTATTAAGCCTCCTACTCGTTCAAGATTCTCAATGCTTCGTAGGATAAATTTTCTTGAAACTTGATCTGTAAATACGAGTCTTATTGGTTGACTTAGGATATAAAATACGACCCAGTAATAACATCAAAACCATATTGATATTATATGTATATTTCTTAGCATTTAAAGGAAAATATTTACGTGAAAAATTCTCTGTGAATCCGGATGCTGGATTTTAAGCGTACGAACGGCAACCATCTTGATTCTCATGTCGTTTTTGTATATAATTTGTAAAAAAATATGATATCTACATCTGGCTGAATACACAGGTAACCTTTATCTCATCGAGGGTGAAAATTGAGACAACAACTCCACCTTGTCTTAGTATGCAAATGAGACGAGGCAAAATAGGCTTCCTTAAGATGGTAATTTATTCATCTGTGTACTTCAACAATCGGAAACATTCGATACTCTTTCTCCTTCACTAAACAGTATATAAATTTTTTGTTTATTTTTAAGGGTCTACACCGGCTATCACTTGATCATATTTTAGCATAGAGATGATCCAGCCACTCGCAACTGTGTGTGTGTGTGTGCGTGTGTGTGTGTGTGTGTGTGTGTGTGTGTGTGTGTGCGTGTGTGTGTGTGTGTGTATAGAGTGTTAATAGATAAAGCGCTACAAAAGAGCCAGTTCTTGGATTCCAGGCGATAAGTTCTATATACATATGTTACGGTCGATTGGATCTAAGAACCTTTGCGTCAGGTTGAGTAGTGTGTAGTCGTTAGCGTACACGTTATGTAGAGTTCAATCCCATTCAGCCTATCGTCCATCTGCCCGTCGGTGTATAAGTGATATAAGCGATGGGTCGTGCCGAAGTATAAGCGATTTAAGCGATCGTAAACGCCAAGGGATAAGGAATTGGAAGAGGCGGAATTATAAGTGATGGAAGAGAAATGATGGAAGAGATGGGAAGGAAGATTTTAAACTAACTGGTTGAGCAGAGGTTCGACACAGCGTTGTTGGCATAACTTAAAGTGTCCCTTTCCGGTTTTTTTTTTCTTTTTAAGTGAATTCTTGGCAGAGAAAAGTGTTTTAAGTGAATTGTTTATAAGATGTATTTAAGTAAAGGCTATCGGTCCATTACTACACATACTTGCTTTGTTTTAGTTATTACCCGCAGTTTATATCTTCAAGAGACGACAACTAACTGATTTGTGTGTCTAAGTGAGTCTAAAGTACAGTATATATATATATTAACCATTGTCATAAGCGCTGTCAACCACACAATCAAAACGCTATTAGTGATGACAGGAAGAGAGCGATGAGATAGAATAGATCGCACCCAAAGCGATATCAGTGAGTGTAAGTGGACGACAAAGTTAGCGATATCGGTACATTGAGGGAGGGGGGAGGGGGGGGTGGAGACTATAGATAGGTTAATGAAATCGACGTGTTGGTGGAACAAGTTTAGCGATATTATTGAACAAAAGTGGATGAGATTAGGAGTTATCGGGAAGAAAAAGTAGACGAGGTGAGTGATATCGGTGTGTGATATCGGTGAGTGACATCGGTGGTGGTGGTGGTCGAGCGATACCGGGCAGGAGGGGAGGGAGGAGAGGGGAAGGAGTGAGGAAATGTCCAAGCCTAATGTTGTCTGAAGATGACTTTGCATGTTACTTTATAAAGTCCACCTTTTCCCCTCTCCCTCCTTCCCCTCCTTTTCCTCCCATCACTAACTTTTTCTTCCTTCCTTCTCTACATCACCACTATCCCCCCTCTTTTCTCTTCTTCCTCCTCCTTTCCTATTCCCTTCTTCTTTTCTCCTCTCTTATTCCCTCTTTCCTTCCTCCTCCTCCCATATTCCTCCTTCCTTCTCTCATATTCCCTCCCTCCTCTCCTATTTCCTTCCTCCTCCTCCCCCACGCCCCTTCCTCCCCCTTCTTGCCCTAATCTGAATTATTCATTGCACTTATTCATGAATTTGTTTATTTACCTTCCCTACCCTGTCATTCATCGGCCTCGTTGTGGTGTCATTCATTAGGTGTTGTGAGAGGCGATTATTCATGATATCAGAGAAGGGTTTTGCATTTTTTTTATTTTTTATTATGTAAATTTTATCTTTTTTGGGGGGACGGATGAAATGCGAGTTTAATTAATTTAGTATGTGTATGGCTTATAATAATAATAATAATAATAATAATAATAATAATAATAATAATAATAATAATAATAATAATAATAATAATAATAATAATAATAATAATAATAATAATAATAATAATAATAATAATAATAATAATAATAATAATAATAATAATAATAATAATAATAATAATAATAATAATAATAATAATAATAATAATAATAATAATAATAATAATAATAATAATAATAATAATACTACACACACACACACACACACACACACACACAATAGCAACACACACAATAATAACAATAACAATACACACACACACACACACACACACACACACACACACACACACACACACACACACAACACACACACACACACACACAAAACACACACACACACACACACACACACACACACACACACACACACACACACACACAATAACACACAACTCTCTAAACGAATCATTTAAAGTTTATAAATTAATTTACCATTCTTCATAAACAACTACAATGCCCTTAATTATTACAGTAATTTTTTTCATATTTCTCTTTTACTATATATATATATATATATATATATCTTATCATTTATTATATTTCCTTCGAATTATCATATTTTTTTTACTTATTATCCGATATTAGTTTAGATTCTCCTAATAGCAGTAACTTAGGTCCTCGTAATACTGAAACGTGAGGATCAAGTGAGGAAATTAAATCTCATAACACTGTCTCAAGTTACTCCTTCTTCCTCATTCTCAAGCATGAGGGGGATGTGAGGCATTTCCTTGTGTGAGGTGAAGGTTCATCTCATCACCTCGTAAAGTCTCGGTATTTCCTCCTTAATGGAATGTTTATGTGGTTTATGTTAACGTTGTCTCTGTCGGGTTTATTGTTGTCATCCATCTTGTCTTAGTGGCCCCGGGATATCGTCAAAATACCGAGGCAAGGAAAACATTGAGAGAATTTATTAGGGAGCTTCCTGTTATAATTAATGGATAGAATTGTGAGGAATTTGGGGTGTTCTCTCTCTCACTTTCTCCCTATTTATCTCTCCTTTTTTGTCTCTGTCGTTCTGGTACCATGCTGCACACTCACCTTTCAAGTGTGGGAGATCTTAATGTTAATCGGGACGAAAATAATAGTTTCGTGGATAGTTTTTTGTGATGCTATTTTTTTTCCCTACTTAAATTCCCAGGTAACTAACACGTCATTAAAAATTGCCGGGAAATCTGGATGACGTCACTAATGTCTTGTTTCTTTTTGTGTTGCAGGTCGCGTGGGAGGCAGCCCCGTCCGCCCTCATTACCCCACGCCCCTCCACGCGGCTTGGTTCCCGGAGCACTCCCGAGGCATGGGTATGGCACACACGCCGTCCACGTCATGGGTGCCTCCTCTCACCTCTCGCCAACCACCCACCGCGCCCCTGCATCACACTCACCTATTTACATTCCCGCCAACGCCACCCAAAGACGCCACCCCTGATACCGTAGGTATGACGGTGGCCGCCCACGACTATAATAGTGTGGTCACGTCAACGGCAACTCATCACGCCCACCAGCAAGGCCTAGAGATGTCCATGGCTGAGCTGAAGTCACCCCCGGCCCTCCTGCCCGTCATGGGTACCTCCAAACGTGAAGGTAGCGACGAGTACGCCCTCTCTGACCCCTTACTCCTCTCCTCTCAACCCCCGTCCCTCCTTCACGCCCACAACCCCCTTCCACCACCACCCACAGAGATCCTTCACCCAGACTCCTACGCTGCCTACGACGCCTACCTTCCCGCCCACGAAGACGCCTACTACCCCACCCCTCCGGACACCCAAACTCCTGGCCACGCTCCCTCCATCTCCGCCTCCAAGAGCAAAGCAAAAGCCAAGGCCAGCGCCGGTAAGACGAGGCACAGCGTTGACTGCCTCCCACTCATCACTCTCTTCTCGCTAATTGCTAAGTGCTAACCTCTAGTAAGCTGCAGCTCACAACATGCATAATCTCACCGTCCGACAACACTATATTAGTGTGTGCAGCATAAACTGCTACATTTCAAATCTCTTAGCACTCACCAGTACATGTTGAGGGATTCAACCTCTCCTGCTATATCCACGGCATCTAGCACATAAACGCTATTTCTAAAATCCTAAGCACTGCAATTTCACCTGGGTCCTCTTGCACTTGCTGATGTATTTAAAAATGTTAGCACTTCTCGCTACACCTGCGTGACTTAGCACCTGACATACTGATCACTCACAGCAACACCTGAAACAGTTTGCCTCAACACCTCTACCATATCCTATCAAATATGTTGTGTGTGTTACCATGTGATTTATTGTCAGATAAACACCTTTTGGCTACTATTTGTAATTTATCTCACGTGTCTCAGTTAACCCCAATGCTTTAAATATATACAGTACTGTGCTGTATTATAAACGTCTCCGGCAGCACACTCACCGGGGGCTGACCGTCTCGGTAGATTCAAAATGTTTTCTTAACTCGTTCTGATCCAACATTTCATTCATTAATCGAATTATAATTCATCATAATTTATCGTTGAAGAAATAAATTCTGCCTTTTAATTTAGCAGTGTTCGTTGGCAGTTTTCACGTTAACATTTACTGTCTATCTGTCTATCTGGATGTCTGTCTGTCTGCTCACCACTTTTCTGTTTAATAGCGGATTATTTACTTATTCTCCTCACCACTGGCTCGCGTACATCCCCGACAGTAGGTGTCACCTCTAGGAGTGAACTCTGAGCTCAGTACAGTACAGCTTCAGCACGAGTAGCCACCACTTCATGTAGCTACAGTACGTTAGACGAACGTTCACCACCCATCTCTTGCCTTCACTGGCGCTCCTTTATGGTGCCAGCTTTAGTCTAAAGCTGGATACAGATCAGGGAGTCACCTGACCTTGGCACTACTGCACTAATTGGCACTCCCCAGCCATCAAGTGCCAATCTCTTGTCTACGGGTGCCAGCTGTCGATACTGTCAGCCAAGTTATGTGAATTCACTGTCTCGTGAACCAGGATACTCTCAACTTTATGAAATACTGAGATAATATTTTGTATTAACACTGATCTAACACTACCATGAGCTCTGATCAGCCCTAATCGTCTCTATGCATAAAAAACAACATATATTACATGTTGGTTACAGTAATTACAAGTATGGACGAGCTAAGGGACTCCTGTTACATCATTATAGAGCCTCCACATCACCACCACAGAAATGAACACTGAACAGAACTCAGAATTACACAGAACGGTGATATCCTATAGAAAATGTGGTAAAGAGGATACTGGTAAATAGATAATGCCGAATAGGGGAATAGGGAGTTATAGAAGCAACAACAGACAGACAGACAGACAGACAGACAGACAGACAGATAATCACCAGAGAACCTTTTTTTACAATCATATACACTAAAGCCTTAATCTCATCTTACATAAATCTCTGTTATATAAAATTGTGAATGAGTTTCTTTTGAACGTCCTCGTGAACCGCGTGACTCACAGGCCTCGAACACAGACCAACTCTTTGTACAGTGCCACAATAAAATGGTATATGTATAAATCTATCTGCAGGGGTATACTTAGCGCCATTAAATATACTCGGGAGATATACTGGGCATCACATCTGTAAGTTTATTATGGGGTCCAAGCGCTTAATTATACCCGTCTAGTACTTGGTTACAGCCGTCTAGTACTTGATTAAAGACAGTTGTTCTTTTAGTACAGCTTCCAGTACTTGATTACAGCTTCTATTAATCGATTACAGCCTCTAGCTCTCGATTACATCCCTTATGATTCGATTATAGCCTCTAATACTGATTATAGTCAGTTGTTCTTGATTTTAGAACTCCTGAAGCTTACTGTATGTCTGTCGCCTCCAGCCATAATATATTCGCATTTTATTTACTATATACACATTACATTCAAGGCATAATTGTACTTAGTAAATAATAAATAGATGAAACCATAATTACACACATAAATGATAATAATAATGTATAACTGAAGTAAAAACGACATAATCCCACACGAGTAAAAGAGAAATCATTAGGAATAACAATAATAAAGCGAGGAATGATTCACTTAACGGGGTGACTAACGTGGCAGTGGTCACAGTGAGTCACTCATTAACCCACTGACTCAGAAGCTGACTGACTCACGCCCTTACATGTTGGCTGCGTGCAACATGTGTTTCTGAGTTTCAGTCGCGACAGGTTAATTAAATTACCTGGGTGTATAACACAGACGAGAGAACACCTGACACTGAGCCCAGGAGGCACTAAGGCTTGAATATTCTGCGTCATACCTGGGATTGGTTACGGTGATAGAGCAGGTAAAGTGACAGGTGACACACACACACACACACACACACACACACACACACACACACACACGCGCGCGCGCGCGCGCGTAATTTATAAAAATCAAGAAATAAATCAAAGTAAATCGAAAAGAAAAAAAAAACGCCTAAAAATAACAAAAAAAACATAACCAGTGTAAGTTAAAAAAAATAAATATATAATACAAATTTCGAAGAGAAAAAAAACACTGTAGAGACAAAATCACAAACAAAAACATCACTAATTGAAACCAAAAAAAAATGTTTACATAACCAAAACAAGACTAAAACACGCCCAGCGGACATGAACCCATAAGCAAAAACCAAAACAAACAAACAAACAAGCACAAAAGCAAGAGAGATGAAGACAAAACCATCATTAATGATCATCAACAAGTAGAATGACCAGGCCACCACCTCCCCCAGTCCAATCGTCCGCTCATCTGATTATGTAAATGGCCGATTATCAGCTGGTTATCTCCGCTCCATCTGGCGCCAGAGATGCCCAGACAGTGGTACCAGACACCCGCCTCCCGCACACCCTCCTCCTCCACTACTACTACTACTACCACCACTACTACTGTGTCTCGCTTCTCCCATTATCAGGCCTGGTGGTACTGGCTGTGAAGGTCTGAATGATTGTAAAACACGAGTCTTCAAATTTTGTGGTGAAGATGAGGGGTTTTTGGTATGTTGTTTTAAGAGATCATGGTGAGGTTTATCTTATGGTAACCCTAAGATCGCTGCCTTTTAGGACATCTTAAACCTATAAATCTATTGAATGTCTACAGGCAATGCCATGAAAGGAGTCAGTAGCTTCATACATTTCAATAATTAGCAGCGGGTTTTCCTGAAAGTTGTTCACTGAGTAAATGAACGCTTATTATACATCACATTCTTCATAATCGTAGAAGCTGAACCATGGAACTAAACAACAAGACCAATTATTTCTAAACAACCTAAGAAGTTATCGTGACAACTTGGTAGGTGTCGTACAAACTCCCGATGAGTGAATATTTTAGCTATGGGAGGTTGGCACTCGTGGGTAAACAGTGGAGTTGGTACCTCTGGCAGCGGGTGCCTCCAGCCCTCCTTGGCGCCACACTTGTTGAAGGAAATTTGTGTTGCCTGATGAAGAGGTTTGATTAGTGGATGGACGGGAGATTTGACAGGTGGGTGGGGGCTAGAGGAGATATTACAATAATTAGGCACCATAAACGGATGATAAGAATGATAATAGTGGTTGTCGGTGGAGAGGAAATGGCGTATTAGTTAATTAAATTGTACCGGTATTGGGTAATTACCTGAGCGTTCTGACTTTTAAAGATTATTTGACTCTACTTTTTTGTACTGATGATATGATGTGGGAGACCGAGAACAACAACAGCAGGGAAGATAAAAGTCAAAATATTTATCAGAAGAAAATGAATGAGTTTTACCCTTTAAGTTGTTTTAATGAAGGAATATTATTGTCGTGTCAGTCTGTGTGTGTGTGTGTCTTTCTATTTCTCTATCTACAACATGAGCTGGAAACATGTAAACACAACTAATCTTACATTTTTGGAAAGATCAATTAGTATGTGCTTGAGTAATGAGTATACGTGTGTGTTTATGTATATGTATGAGAGTATATATCTGTTTGAGTTCTGTGTACGTGTGTATGTGTGCGTGTCGAAGGTCAAGGACACCGTCACTAAGAGTCTGGTCGAGGAAGCTTCCAAGAATTTTACGAATGTTTACATAATTACCATAAAGTAAATAGTCTTAATGTGTTGTTTATTATGATGATTGTAATACACCTGGTTAGTCTCCTCGTAATGGAAACCTGTACACACACACACACACACACACACACACACACACACACACACACACACACACACACACACACACCCAAATATGAACCTGCACAAGGTCGACAGCCATTCAGCAGCTCATTAATGTTACATGTCAATAGTGCAAAACAAAAGCCTGACCCTTTTAAGCCATCGTGCCCTTTAAATCTCGGCCAAGGATCTAATTTTCTAATTCCTCAATTTCCTGTAAGTAAACAACGAACATAAATAATCACCTGTTTACCTGTACGTGTCACCTGACGAGTGTATTATCAGCTAAGGACTTAGGCAGATAGCTGTTATCAAGGTAATGGTGGGGGAATGGTGGTGGGGGAATGGTGGTGGGGGGATGTTTGATGGGGGAAAAGTGTAATAAGGATAATTTGAATTAGATTAGATAAAGTCTGGTGGTGAAGAGGGAGAAAGGGAGAATGTTGGGAGGAGGGGGGGAGTTGGAGGAGAAGGGAGAGGATGTTGGAGGAGAGGGAGAGGATATTGGGGAAAGGGAAAGAGAGTGTTGAAGAAGGGAAGAAAGGAGGGGGGGGGGTGTTGGGGGAAGTGTCAATTAAATTAAGAATGTAAGTGTGACCGATAAAAGATACCTCCACATTCTTATGCACATAAACCAATACCTGGAACACACTCTTACGTACATAAACCAATACCTGGAACACACTCTTACGTACATAAACCAATACCTAGAACAC